GGGGGGCTTCCCCTGCCTCCCTGCATAATGGCAGAGGGTTCGCCGCATGCTGTGCCGTTCCCTGCCGACTCTCCCCCTCAGACCCGTCATAGCCCCCCTTCCGGAGTACCTCCTGATACTCCAGCATATCCGATAATCCGGCATACCCTGGGTCCCAAAGGTGCTGAATTATCGGAGGTTTACTGTAATAAGATTTCAACTCCTGCTGGATACGGTGCAATAGCAAAAATGCAAAATTCTAGCAAGGGTGAAAAAAATGTAATTTTCCATTCACCAAAAGTCTGAAACACTGAAATAGTAATTGTTGACAAAAATAAATGAAAGAGTTAAAAAACACTAAGCCAAAAAAAAAAAAAAAAATGCTGTGAGCATCTGAGCAGTTCTTGGGATAGCTTTTGTAATTATTTGTCAATTCAGTAGTGAAACCTTTCTTTAATAATGAGATGTACTGTGTGATAAGCAGGGTGATACTGGTGCCAGTTGGTATCTGATCATCGCTAAAATCAGCACAAATATACAAGTCTTGCAGACAGCGTGAGAGAGAGAATACAATTCCATTTGAAATCAAGCTCATAATTCCATTTGAAAGTGTTTCTAACAGGTTTGGTGCTTAAACTGTGAAAAAGGTATTCTCCTCTTTGCACTGGTCTAAACTAGCACCTTATTCCAAGATAATACCCCCAAATTTGGGAGGGATGAAGATGGACAGCCCGTGTGGGTAAAGAACAAGTTAGGAACTATTTAGAAAAGCTAAACGTACACAAATCCATGGGTCCAGACTTAATGCATCTGAGGGTACTGAGGGAGTTGGCAAATGTCATTGAGGAGCTTTTGGCTATTATCTTTGAAAAGTTGTGGAGAGTGGGAGAAATCCTGGATGATTGGAAAAAGGCAAATGTAGTGCCCATCTTCAAAAAAGGAAAGAAGGACGATCCAGGGAACTATAGGCTGGTCGGTCTTACCTACGTTCCCGGAAAAATCATGGAAGGGATCCTTAAGGAATCCATTTTGAGGCACTTGGAAGAGAGGAAAGTGATTAGGAATAGTCAGCATTGATTCACAAAGGGCAAGTTGTGCCTGACAATTTTTCAGTTGAAAACCAAACTGTGTTGGTTATTGTGTTACTCGAGGTAACTGTAATAAATGAATTGAGATGCCAATTAGCCAACTAAATTTAAGAGGATTACAAAATGCGGACACCAAAATCTGTATCTATCACCGGTCGGCCCTTTAAGTGGGCATTTGTGGCGCATAAATAAATACTGTCACTTTTAAGTAAAATTTAAACCACAACTATATTAATATAGCTAGCAAACAAGCAAGAAAGGTTAAAAGACGCACAGAAAAGAAATATGTAACATAGTCTAGACGCAGGGCATGATTGTAGTGTTGCTGGCAACCTCAATCCTTTGGTCCTTCCGGGCCTCGGGAGAGGAACAGCCAGGAGATCCCTCAAAGACGACTGGAATCGGGTATGCTGACTCGAGCCTTCCGCACGAACCACGAATCCTCTTCCTGTTCTTCGGGACAGCTCGGACAGGCAATGGTGGCCTAAACCCTAGCCTAAACTAAAAAGAAAAACCCTAACTACGTCTGACGCACCCGACGAACATTCACGATGACGGCCGATGTGCTTGGAACCGACGCTTTACAATTGAGGGGAGGTAAGGGAGAGCGGGGGGGAAGAGGAGGGGACGGGAGGGAGTCGTATGGGGAGACCCAGGCGACCCTACTATGGGGCTTGTGCGAACATGTCCGTCAGGGCCTCTCTGATGCGCACCCCATCCTGGTGTGCCTGGCGGACGGCAGCGCTGTGGGGCTGTTCGAATGTCTGTGCCTCGGCTGCCAGCCATGCAGGGAGGAAGGCCTCCCCACTCCGCTCCACAATGCTGTGGAGCACACAGCATGCGCCAGTACCTCCGTTGCATTCCACACACCCATCTTGAGACGGGTGAGCACACAACGGAAGCGGGCTTTTAAGCGGTCAAAGGCGAGCTCCACCTGATTTCGGGCCCGGTTGAGGCGGTCGTTGAACCGGGCCCGGTTCTGGTCCAGCTGCCCCGTGTAGGGCCACATTAGCCAGGGCAGCAGAGGAGAGGCCATAGACATAGGCTAGATTTTCTACTTCCAACTTTTTGCTGCTGAATAGCTTCCCTCCTTTCCTTTCCAGGGCCAAAAGTCTGGAACAGTTGGGTTAGCATCCATCTTTTGGCTCCCATGCCAGCCAAAAAGGCAATTCAGAGGGAGTACTTACCACCTGCAGGTATCTTCATGGGGTTTCTCCCCCTTCCATAAGCCCCTCCCCAAACAGGGAATCATTCCACTCTGGGAGACAGCTCATATTTCTGACCAGCTTGAGCACTAGGTTCCAACAATTGCCTGCACGTCGCGCAGGTGGATGACTCTTGGTAGCAAGACATCATTGATGGCATGGACGACCTGCAGAAGGGTGCAGAGAAAAACAAGGGAACATATCACATAAGGCAGGGGTGAGTGTGCGCTCCCGT